CTGTTAGTCTCCTTTCCTTCTATCTGTACAGTTGTTATACTTTATTAGATTCTTACGCGGTACAGATTGATGTTAGTTGAGGCTTTCTATGTGCAGTACATAAGAAGTTATATACAGTCATGGGGTGGAACATGTGGTAGTAGATATCTAGACTATTTACAACAATTCCATGGTCTTAAATCATCACATAGACATGTGGTGCACTTACAGTAAAAGTAGTCACCTACTTCTACCCACCATGATTATCATGGCCGGTACCACATATACTAGGGATAAGAAAAAGAGTTATGGAAACAAACACAGAACTTCCAATTACATACTTAATTGGGAATCCAATCTAAGACTCAAAAAAGAAGGCCCTCTCCACCTGGCCAAAAGAAATGGATTTTTAAAATATAAAGTAGAAAAAAATTATTTAGCAGAAAAAATTTCTCCATGCGAACAACTACAAAATGTTATTTTTAATGCCTCTTTAAATGAACCCACCAACAAACAATGCCAAAATCCAGAATACTTAAAACAATTATCATTAGAAATAATTAATAACATTCCTAAAAATGCAATAACTATTTATACCGATGGTAGCAGAGACGAGCTAGGACACACTGGCAGTGGCTGTCTCATCAAAACCACAAATGGCATTGAGAAAATGAACAGAAGAAACCCAGATTTTTGCTCAGTCTTCAGATCAGAACTTATAGCCATCTATGAAGCCTTAAAATCCATCAGAAATACTAATTATCAAGATATCTGGATTCTTACTGATAGTAGAAGTGCCATACAACACTTGAGTCACACAGGGGAACTCAGAGACAAAGTAAGCAGGAACATAATTGACTATCTCCAAAAACTCTCAAATACCTCAAAAATTCACCTTCAATGGATACCCTCACATGTTGGAATTGAAGGCAATGAAGCTGCTGATGTGCTAGCGAAAAAAAGGCACAAAAGAACCCTTGCCACAGAAAAATAAACTTACTTTTAAAGAAATAGAGACAGTAGCCAAAACAAAAATAAACAAGAACTGGAGGATCCCACCTAAGCACAGTTGGTACAGTGGAGTGAACCCAGGAGGAGCTCTGAACATCAGAAATAGACAGCATCAAACAACACTAACAAGATTTAGAACAGGCCATCTCAAGCCATTGAAGATAGAAAATAATAACAAAATCTACCCCACTTGCCCAAAATGTAGCTTGGCACCTGCAGCTCCAGAACACATTTTGGCTTGCATTAGATGCACTAAACGGGACCTTTGGGAGAGGCCGCTGCTCATCATAAAACAGCTCGAGGAGCATGAACTCATGGAATTCGTGTAATCTTTACACAAGGGGATAAGAAACAACAACAACAACAACAAGAAAAAAAAAAAAACAGTTGTGTTGTTCCTTCTTTAGCGACTGCCTTTAACACATGTTTTATCACATGAAAAGCAGTTTGACTTTAGCACTTACTGTGTTGTTGTTAGTGTCCATCAAGTCAACTTTTTGGTAACTCTCTACAGACAAATATTCCCCATGTTAGTGATCATTACTCACGTCTTATTTAGTGACCTTCCATATCTATTCTTCACAGTAGAACATCTTCAATTCGACTTAATTCAACCATAGTAAATTCAAACAATTTTTCAAATCCAGCCATTTCTCTTTCAAATTACCCTCTTTAATTCAACCGACTAAATATTTGACACTTAGCTCAGAATTCAACCTTTTTTTTCCTCACAAATCCCATTCAGCCTTTTTTTGTTGTTGTTTCTTATCCCCTTGTGTAAAGATTACACAATCTCCCTATTTAGTTTTAACCGACTATAATTGCCCAATGGATTTCTCAATTATGTCCTATATATATTGAATGATTAACGCTTATTTTGAATCAAAAATATTTATTATAACTTCCAATATTTTTAATCCAAAATAAGCTATATTCATTCAAAGTATTTAAAATGGATTGCTCGATTTTTTCAACAATATGTATATCTATATAAATAAATCTTCAATTAAATAGGCATATATTGGATCAAAATATAATAAATTTACCAATATTTCAGTTGGCTGAACGCCAACCTTTTTCAAGTATTCCAACATATTCATGTCAACAACAAACTAGTTTGTAGTTTGTTGTTGACATATATTGTAATACCTTGAAAATGGTTGCCATTCAGCGAACTGAAATATTTATAAATAAAATATATTTTGATCCAATATTTGCTTATTTAATTGAAGATTTATTTATTATTATATTTTTTTTATTTTATCCCTAGTGTAGACATGGTACAGGCCATGATAATCATGGTGGGTAGAAGTTGGCGACGGCTTTTTACAGTAAGTGCACCACATGTCTACACATGTTAAAAGCAGAGATTTATCTATGGATTGCTCAATTGTGATGTCAAATATGTAATAAAATGTGTCCACACAGACTGGTGGATCTTCTCAAAACCATCACCACCGGAGAACTCCCGTTTGACATGGATCGGATGCAGTCTGTGATTCAACGAAGGAAACTCACCATTCTCTCTCAGGTAGGTAACTTTTTTTTTTTGCTTATCCCTAGTACACACAGGCCATGATAATCATGGTGGGTAGAAATAAGCAACTGCTTTTACTGTAAGTGCATCACATATCTACACATGTGAAAAGCAGTTCGACTTTTGCACTTACAAATGTGCCAGTGCCCTGTTTGGTTACTTGTACTTGCTGGTGGGGTTGGACTTTTGCAAGAATCAAGGGCCATTGAATAATTTTTTTTTTAAATCAGAAAAAATTGCCCAATGCAGGAATTGAACCCGGGTCGTAGTGGTTGAAAACCAATGGTTTAGACCATCCTTCCACCAACCCCTAGGTAGGTTACTGGTAACCCTCAACAGAGCTGACTGTTACAGGGCGCGTTCCCAGGTTGCGGATAGGGGAACAACCTTCTGATATAAAGACCAGCTGTGAAACAAGCAGAATAACTCTTTGACGAATAAGCAGTCGTGTTAACCTGTTAAACCCTTGTTTGTAGAATGACATTTGAAAATTATCTTGCATGTGTTTCTTTGGAATGAAAAATCAAATTTATTTTAAGGAGAAATAACGAATGAATAAGGGATGAAGTATAAAAGGATGAATTGTGAAGAGTAATGATAAACGGGAAAATAAAGTGTCCAGGGACGGGAATCGAACCCACAGTGTTCCGCTTACCGGGCAGAAGTGTTATTAGCGAAGTGTTATCATATTGAGGCATTTATAATACTTTGCTAATAAACTTTCCATCTTTGAAAAAGGCTACAGTGGGTTATCGAAATATCAGGATAATTAACCTTTTTTTTAGGGGAGTTGTGTGTGATGAGTTCTAAGAGTTTTTCAATAAACGGAAAAATAAAAGTGTCCAGGGTCTGTTTATCATTACTCTTCACAATTCATCCTTTCATACTTCATCCCTAAGGTTAGAACTATTCGTTATTTCTCTGTAAAATAAATTTTGATTTTTCGTTCAAAAGAAGCACATGCAGGATAATTTTCAAATGTCATTCTACAAACAAGGGTTTAACAGGTTAACACGACTGCTTATTCGTCAAAGAGTTATTCTGCTTGTTTCTCAGCTGGCCTTTATATCTGAAGGTTGTTCCCCTATCTGCCATCATCTGGGAACAGCCCTGTAGCAGTCAGCTCTGCTGAGGGTTACCAGTAACCTACCTGATAATTTTCAAATGTCATTCTACAATCATAAGCCGCATTACATTGTATTGTCACGGTAATGAAGACAAGTATTCCAAAAGCTTAATTAAAAATAATTTATTAATTAATTAAACTTATATATTGCAAAATGTATCAAAGGATTTTTCAAGTGGTAATTTACAAGCATGGTAAGGGGTGATGACTATTCAAATATTTATGATGATAAACAACAGAGTATTTAAAATAATTATTCAGTGACAGTATTATAAACCCTTGTTTGTTTTGTCCAACTACGACATATTCTGCTGCCACAGATGGAGTGTTCCCCTCATGATTCTGTCGCTCTCAATATCATTGGAGATTTCTTGTACGGCACCTCAGTGGATGAAGTAAGTCTGTCTGTCCATCCTCTGTGAGCTGTGGAGGAGATGTTGACCAACCTGTGTACAGGTCTGCACCAGGATCCTTCATGTTCCAATCATGGAAGGACTGGCTAAGGAAGGTTCAGATTACTGGATTGGACTTCTCAAGACCTACTTGGTGGATGGTCCCATGGTGGCTGTAAGTGTCCTCTCGTATCTTTTTCTCTCTTCTTCTTCTTCTTTCTTATCTCCCCTCAATCACAGTAAGGTATCAAGCTTGTAAAGCTTGAGATTTTTGATGGTGTCTGCCAGGGAAGAGTAGAGCTCATCAATGGATGAGTCAATACAGTCAATAATATGTCTTGGGGTTGCAGGCTGAGAATATATATTTTTCTTCTTTGTGCTAATACCTTGTAACAACATAATTGCTGATTCCACAAGTTGAGTTGTTGTTGTTAGTGTACATTGATTTAAATCTCTTGGATATCAATCAAACAAAAGTTTATGATGAGTTTCTCTTATCTTTATTAAATATATACTCTAGCTTTTTCTGGCATCTCAGGAGTACATAAAAATGTATTTTAAAGCTACAACATCAGCTTTGGTAAACTGAGAAGCGCCCATCTGAAGTCCATGGTTTCAGGATATGGCCCTTGTCAATCTAGGGCGGACTTTATTCCATGAGATCCACACAGTGATCAAATGAAAATCTTCACAATCTGCCAAAGAGGTATTGCTTATGTCCATAGTTTGCTTGAATGCCATTTCTAAGATTCCACCCTTCATCGTAGCATATATAAGCAGAATTGTCCCATACAGCATTTGAGCTCTGGTGTAAGCAGTCTGGTAGATTAAATTGCTGAAATTTACTTGGAGGGTTCACCACTGATGAGCCAAACCCTCACAATATATTTTTTCATCACAGTAAGGACTGTAGAAGTTTTTGTTTTATATTTAAAAGGAACATTCATGTTTAACTGGTGAAATAGCTCAGTTGTGAAAGCTTCAGACTGAGAATCTAAATGTCCTTGGTTCAAACCCATGTGTCCCCATCTTTTTTTTTTTTTCTAGAAGTCAGTGGACGAGTGGTTAAAACTTTTTGCTTCCCAACAGCCATGAACCGGGATCTAATCCGTCATTGGACACTTTGTTTTAATATGTGAATAACCTTCACATGTATTATTCATTGTTGTAAATATCATAAACTTGATTGCTCTTTTTTGAGCAGCACCTAGTAAAGTTATTTTGAAACCAGGCTTAAATGCTTCCATTTCTCAAATAGGTGTTTAGCTAGCAAAGCTGGTTAGGCTAAAACCAATGGACAAAACATATTGTTGTTTCTTATCCCCTTGTGTAAAGATTTCACGAATTCCATGAGTCCATGCTCCTCGAGCTGTTTGATGATAAGTAGCGGCCTCTCCCAAAGGTCCTGTTTAGTGCATCTAATACAAGCCAAAATGTGTTTTGGAGCTGCAGGTGCAAAGCTACATTTTAGGCAAGTAGGGTAGTTTTTTTGTTATTTTCTATCTTCCAAGGCTTTAGATGGCCTGTTCTAAATATTTTTAGTGTTTGTTTTTTTTTTATGCTGTCTGAGGTTCAGAGCTCCTCCTGGGTCCACTCCAATGGACAAAATATAGATGGCCTATATGTGTATGTGGTCCAGACGGTGGGAGTACCAGACCCAGAGCTGATGGAGAAGCTGGCCCAGGAAGAGAAGGACCGTGTGGAGGAACAGAGGAAGATCCTGGGGTGAACAAGGATTGGAGAAGAAGAAACAGGACTTGGCGGCAGCCATGGCTGCTAACGAGGTAGAATGACAGGGGATTGTTTGTATAAGATGTAAACATCAGAGTTAATCCTCCCTGCCAGATGCACTAGTTCCTGTCATTTAACCAGCACTCTAGGAGTAGACTTGTGCCAGCATTCTCTTTTAACACAGTTTTTACAATCTATAAAAAAATAGGGCACAATTTGGATTATAGATTATAAACACAAGGTAATAATAAATAAGACCAAATCCAAATAAATAAATAGTGTGTTACGTTTCGGTAACAGCGTTGTTACCATCTTCATTATGTAACTTCAGGATGTACTCTACAGTCAAGTACTCTATCATTTAGAAACAAGATTTGTTTTGAGCACAATTTGTATTATAGCTACATGAGAATAAGACTTAATCCAAATAATAGTGTGTGATGTTTTGGTAACAGTGTTGTTATGTTCATCAGACAAAAGATGGTAACAATGCTGTTACCGAAACATCACACACTATTTATTTGGATTTGGTCTTATTACCTTGTGTTTATAATCTATGAAATACTATTTATGTAGAAAAAAAAAAAGTGTCAAAATCACAGTCATTAAAAAATAGGTAACAACATTTCATACTTCAAATACAGAGAAAGTTTTATACTTATATGAACAAAAGGAAGTGGAAAGTCTCTGATGTCGTCGATGGTCTGTTTTTTTTTTTAAGGAGACTCCTTTTTATTCGACCTTGCTGTCATCCCTAGAACATAGGTCACATCGGCCTTCCCTGGATACGGTAGCATTTATATCAATACTTAGGCCATTAGTCTCCATGATGGGGAGATGTTGGTTGGTTATCCACCACATGACAGTCAGACTTTGGCCCTCAGTTGTAGAATGTCATCAGAGTATAAAGGCTTCAAATCAAGCTCCCGGTACTTGTGTGGCATCTTAGTATCCTGCACAGATGTGTAAGAGACAGCAAAAAGATGAGTAAAATAGGTCTTCTTCTTCTTTCTTATCTCCACTCAATCATATTACTGTATCAAGCTTGTAAAGTTGAAAACCATCATAATTGGGTGAAGTAGAATGCGTCTGCCTTTGTCATTAGACTGGGAGCACTACTCAGTGGCAGGCTGTCTTAGCTCCAAATTTAATGGCCGCCTCTGACATGAGGAACAGACGCCATGTATAGCCACTCCTAACATGGAATACAAACACTGCTCATCCTGTATTCCTGGAGTCCTTACACGGTACTATCAGCCGGGCCAGCTGAACCCAGGTTTTTTAGTGAGCTTGTTACTGCTCCCCCTCCTCCTTTTTCATCCGGGCTTGGGACCGGCAAAGGCGGAGTTTCAATGCAATGCAAAGCAATGGTTGAGTTTTGGCTGCATAGTTGTTATTTTTCCTTTCTCATCCCCCCCATGCCATTCAGGCATTATCCCATTTCTCTCAATTGGATTGCTCAGAAAAGCTGACTAAAACAAAACATTTTAGCATCCCTTTCCTTTTGCAAATGAAAACTGTCCCTTGTAGAGAGGTGTCCTCTCATGAAGGTTCTCTTGTAATGACAATAAAATCTTAGAAATTCTAAAGAGAGAATCTAGAGTCTTACTTAGGTTTCATATTGAAGCGTACCTTTTTTTTTTTAATAAGTTAACCATAATATAACTTTTTAATTCAACTAAAAATCAAACACCAGATTTTAATTGAACTGAGAATTCAAATTTCCCTTGGGGTGTAGTGTATACTGCCAATCATTTGTCATCTACAGGTCTGAATTAGTCCTGCTAACTGTGCCGCATGTGTAGATTGAACCTCCACCGGAGCTACTCACCTCCGTTCCAGTCCCGTCCTCAGAGTCCATCCAGTTCCACTCCATCAAACGGACCTGCAACTACCGCTGCCAACAGTCCACAAACCCCGGGACTGCCCTCATCAACCAGCTGCCATTCAGGTTCCAGCTGGACTCAGTCAATTCCAACTTTGTGGAGGTCCGTGACACTTGTTTTCTATCTCTATTTACTCTTCCCCTATACAACCTGCTGTTAAGACAAGGGCTCTAATACTGTTGTTTGGAACACTTATGAGAGCACAGTGTTTGCTGCAGAAAGAAATTGGAGAATGTTGTTGTTTCTCATCCCCTTTGTGTAAAGATTTCATGAATTCCATGAGTTTAGGAATGGGGTATAGGGGTTCAACTTTCTTTGATCATGTTACCATGATCCAGACACACTTTGGTGAAAGTCTGACTTTGCCTGTATTTTGAGGCCGTTCCCAACATGAAAGCAGACACCTTTGCTACAGACTGTTAACATGAGTACAGACAAGTACAGAAAATGGAGAATATAATATTTGGAATCTAAGATTGAAAACATAAACACTGTTAGTACCGGAGAGCAGCCTTGGTAAAATGGTCATTTTGACGATGAGAACTATCCTTTGTAGAGAGATGTCAGCTAGCTGGAGTGGCCATTCCCTGAGGTTCTATTTGAATCTCTTAGCCATAAGTTAAGCACAATTCTGGTTTCTAAGTCAACACAATTTAAGGGTAACACAAGAACAAATCCAAAATTCAATAAATTGTTGCTGTTGTTTCTTATCCCCTTGTGTAAATATTACACAAATTCCATGAGTTCATGTTCCTCGAGCTGTTTTATGATAAGCATAGGCCTTTCCCAAAGGTCCTGTTTAGTACATCTAATACAAGCCAAAATGTGTTCTGGAGCTGCAGGTGCTAAGCTACATTTTGGGCAAGTGGGGTAGATTTGGTTATTATTTTCTATAAAGTAAACGCTGTATGTACCGGAGAGCAGCTAATTGGTAAAACTAGTCATTTTGACAATGAGAACTATCCTTTGTAGAGAGATGTCAGCTAGCTGGAGTGGCCATTCCCTGAGGTTCTATTTTAATCTCTTAGCTATAAGTTAAGCACAATTCTGGTTTCTAAGTCAACTCCAATTTGAACACATAAGGATAACACAAGACTAAATCCAAAAATTCAATAAATTGTGAATGATATTTGAGTAACTGCATTGTGTGAATTTATCAGTATAGTCAAGTCTTTCATTGTCTTTAGATGGTAGTGATGTGGTTACTGTTAAACGTCATATATAACATTGATTTTTTGGATTTGATAATATTAAAACAAGAATATTAAGCATTCAGGGAAAAACACAAGGTAATAAGACCTAATCCAAATAAATAAATAGTGTGTGACGTTTCGTTAACAGCGTTTTTACCATCTTCAGACAAAAGTACTGAATGGAATGGAATCTGAAGATGGTAACAACGCTGTTACCAAAATGTCACACTATTTATTTATTTGGATTTGGTCTTATTACCTTGTGTTTATAATCTATAATCCAAATTGTGCCTTATCATCCAGGAAAAAGTTTCTTTTAAAAATATTTTTTTTATTTAAAAATTTCTCAAGCTTTCGGGCAAGAAAGCCCTTCTAGGGGATAAAATATTTTACATTATTAATACGCCAATAAAATGAGATTTGAAATTTTGGCGTTTTAATAATGTAAAATATTTTATCCCGTAGAAGGGCTTTCTTACCGGAAAGCTAGAAAAATTTTTAAATTGAAAAATATTTTTAAAAGAAACTTTTTCCTGAAGGCTTAACGTTCTTGTTTTAATATTGGTTCGAGGGATTGTTTTATCAAATTTGAAAATGTGTGTGTGTGTGTGTGTTACCTTTTTCAAATTGAAGTTGACTTTATAAACCAGAGAATGCACAACTTGGCTAAGATTCAATTGGATCTCCCATCAATGATCACTCCACCATCTGATATCTCTCTACAAAGGAATATCCCCAAAATGACCAGTTTTACCAACTAGCTGATATCTCTCTCCGATACAGTAGAACCTCTCTCTAACATTGAGCTATAAAGAACCCTATGTAAGCCATAGTTACCCAGGGGGAGATTTGATAATTGGGTGAAGTAGAATGTCTTTGTCATTAAGACTGGGAGCACTACTCAGTGACAGGCCGACTTAGCTCCAAAAGAAATGACCACCTCTAACATGAGGAACAGACGTCATGTGTAGCCGCTCCTAACATGGAGTACAAATGCTGCTCATCCTGTATCCCTGGATTAGGAGTCCTTACAGGGTACTATCAGCTGGGCCAGCTGAACCCAGGTTTTTTAGCGAGCTTGTTACTGCTCCCTCTCCTCCTTTTTCATCCAGGCTTGGGACTAGCAAAGGCGGAGTTATAGTTACCTAGGAATTATTTGAAAAGGGAAAAATAGAATTCGGGTAAAAATTTCATTTATTTTAGATTTTTTACAATCTT